AAATCTTGTACCCCCTTCAGTGCCTCTCTTAGCTCCTCCCCTAGAGAGCAGAGGCTCTGGCAAAGCCTGCACTGTAATACCATATTGAGACGTGCAATTCCAAGGAACAGAGTGAAAGGAAAAGGGAAGTGAGGCTGGAGAGAGGAAATCAAATACAGAGTGCTGCATCACTGAGCTGGCCACAGCCTCAGGAGAAAGTACCTCTGGTCCCTGCTCCTGTGGCCACGTCTGCTGAAGACCCATAAACCACTGCTTCTTGGAGCAGTTGGCTGTGAGGCCAAAGTGTAGGAGGGTGCAGCCAGGGGGGCCCCAAAAGAATTTGTAATGGGGTCCAGGACTCAGGGCGTCCAGGAAATATTAAAAATATGGGATGTCCTCACACCCACAAGTCTCAGCTGGGGGGATGGGATACATGGAGCAGGGCCATTGAGTTGTTTTGCATAGCAACAGTTCCGCAGATAACCTCTGGAATGGTCATTTAACATATCTATAACCTTTAACTGGTTTCATAGATATGTTAAATAGCTGTGGCCATGCTTTGAGCCAGGGAGAAGGGAGTGACTTCCACCCAAGATGTGACTGGGAGGCAACTCCCCAGCCCCTGTTACAGCACCTGCGTGAGAACTTGGAGATGACTGGCTCCACGCCATGGGGCCACGCCTGCCCAGACTCACTATGGCAGCCTAGTAAAGCTGGGAGGTTATGGGAGTCCTGGCGGGTGTAGCCCATTGTGGGAGAAGTGGGAAATGGGGCTGCAGAGGAAGATGGGCATAGGGATTTAAACGCAGACGCGGCAGCCATTGAAGAGAGAACCACGTGCTTTTGGCCAGAATGGGGATCCCGCAGCCCTGTGAGAGAGAATCACCATGTAGCTTTAGCAGAGAACCACCACGTGGCTTTGGCAGAGAACCATGACGCGGCTTTCTATTTCTTTTCCTCAGATACCTTGAACTGGGCAAAGGGGAAAAGAAGGACTGTGTGTGTTTGTGGGTGTTTTAAGGGGCTTTGGGATTTATTTTTATTTTTATTTTATTGATTATGCCATTACAGTTGTTCTATTCCCCCCTTCATTCCCCTCCACCCTGCACCCCCCACACCCTACCATTCCCCCCCTTTAGTTTCTGACCATGTGTCTCAAGTTCTTTGGATTCTATATTTCCCATACTATTCTTGCCCTCCCCCTATCTATTTTCTACCTACCGTCTATGCTACTTATTTTCTGTACCTTCTCCCGCTTTTCCTCCTCCCACTCCCCTGTTGCTAACCCTCCATGAGGTCTCCATTTCTATGGTTCTGCTCCTGAAAGCTGTCCTTTTAGCTTGCTTTTGTTTTAGATGTGGTTGTTAATAACCGTGCGTTTGCTGTCCTTTCGCTGTTCATATTTTTTATCTTCTTTTTCATAGATAAGTCCCTTTAACATTTCATATAATAAGGGCTTGGTGATGATGAACTCCTTGAATTTGATCTTATCTGAGAAGCACTTTATCTGCCCTTCCATTCTAAATGAAAGCTTTGCTGGATAGAGCAATCTTGGTTGTAGGTCTCTGGATTTCATGACTTGGAATACCTCTTTCCAGCCCCTTCTTGCCTATAAGGTCTCTTTTGAGAAATCAGCTGACAGTCTGATGGGAACTCCTTTGTAGGTGACTGTCCCCTTAGCTCTTGCTGCTTCTAGGATTCTCTCCTTCATTTTAATCTCGGGTAATGTAATTATGATGTGCCTTGGTGTGTTCCTTCTTGGGTCCAACTTCTTTGGGACTCTCTGAGCTTCCTGGATTTCCTGGAAGTCTATTTCCTTTGCCAGATTGGGGAAATTCTCCTTTATTATTTGTTCACATAAGTTTTCCACTGGTGGCTGTGTCTTTCCCCCTTCTGGTACCCCTATAATTCGGATGTTGGAACGTTTAAAGATGTCCTGGAGGATCCTAAGCCTCTCCTCATTTTTTTGAATTCTTGTTTCTTCATTCTCTTCTGGTTGGTCATTTTTATCCTCCTTCTGGTCCACTCCTTTGATCTGAGTCCCAGTTTCCTTCCCATTACTGTTGGTTTCCTGTGCATTGCCATTCATTTCAATTAGTTTAGCCTTCATATGTTTCTCTAATTTGTGACTAAAATCAACTAGTTCTGTGAGCATCCTGATTACCAGTGTTTTAAACCATGCATCTGAAAGTTTTGCTATTTCTTCATCACTTAGATTTGTGGGCTCTGGGGCTTTGAGATCTTCTTGAGCCATTTTCGGTCTGTTTGCGCCTATTAAGTATGAGGAGCGGAGCCTTAGGGGCGGGGTGGGGCCTCCAGGGCGGGGTCACTGGGTTGTGACACTGTATGTGGTGGAGGGGTCAGAGTGGGGAAATGGCGTCCCCCTCTCCTGCTTCCCCGCCGCTGAGTGAGGAGCGGAGCCTTAGGTGTTCACCAGGGTAGGGTCGCTCAGGTCGCTGGGTTGTGACGCTGTATGTGGGGGCGGGGTCAGAGCCAGGAAAAGGTGGCTGTCTGTGCTGCCTCCTGTCGCTGGGACCTGCCCGGTCTCACTGCCCACTCCCTTGCCAGTTTATCTGCGCAGGAATGCGCGACCACAGTCAACCCGCCGCCCTTCACCCTCGCTGGATCTGCCGGTTGCTCACTGGGTCTGCCCTTTGCAACCCCACGCCTGGGATCCGCGCACCTGAGTTCATCTGACCAAGTTTTCCTGTGAAAACCCGCTCCACCAGCTGCTGGTTTCACCCCTCTTACCGGTCAGGCTGAAGAATTCGTTGTTATCGGGGTTCCGAAAAGTTCAATTTTCTGTGTTCTGGCTGTGTTTTCTGTTGCTAATATTTAGTTGTCTCTAAACTTGGTTGTGTGAGAAAGCACAGCGTCTCCACCAATGCCTCCATCTTGGCGGAAGTCATGGACTTTGGGATTTTGATGAAGACATTAAGTCATTACTCTTAAGTCTGTATAACCTGAATAAATAATTCCTTTCCTTTTCACCAGTCTGTAACATGGAGAGCTATGATTCTCTGGTGAAGGGAAAGGTGAACCTAGTACAAGGGGACCCCAGGAGGAGGGGGGGTCAACTAGGTAACATTGTGGGACCCCCTTCCCTGGAGGCCAGTCAGGGAAAACTATGGGAGACCACATGTGCAGCAGCTTTAAAATGATAAACTACTTGTACATGCACAGTAAAAGCCTGCCAAGACTAGCCAGGAAGGATCCGTCTTATAAGAATAGAGTCCCTCCAGTCCCTGAGGTCAATCTCAGCTTGGAGTTGGCCTGCTCCCATGTTCTCGGCTATAAACTCTGGGTGTTCAGTTCAATTCTTTGTCCCCATCACCAAGAATCTGGTTACCTGTGCCCACCTGTGACAAAAGGACAAGAATCTGATTCTCAGGCCCTGCTCTTCGCCTATGTCTCTTTGGTCAACATTTCCCTCTGGGGGCACCAATTTCCTTGCTCTTTTAGGTTGTGTAACCTGGGCACTTTGACTAGCTGGTGGGAAAGCCAGAGGCTCTGGACACAGGCAAGTCAGACCTAGAACTGCGCCCCACGTCGATGGTGGGCAGGCCTGAGGCTTGCCCTCATCCTTAGGGAGGCTGTGCTAGAAACCCCAGGCTAGGGAGGTGTCAGCTTGGCCTTTACAAGGGTGTAAATTGCATGAGTCGCCACTGGGGGGTGCTCTGGCTAGGACGCAGCCAGTGTTCAGAGGCCATGTTGTGGTAAGAAATGTCCGAACCCAAATAGAACTTGTATAAGTTTATTTGAGCCTAAATGACAATTGCTGGGTAGCAAAAAAAAAGGGAATTTTGCGGTTTATTTTTTATACAAAAATAATACAAAGTTGTTTGTATTATTTATATTTATAAAATTATTATATTTTTATACAAAAATAAAATAATTTTTTATTTTTTAGAATAAAAAAAGTAGGCATGGAGAGGATTACATGAAATCTGATGGGGGACTCAACACTTGGAAAATTTTTAGTTTTAAGCAATAGTTCATAAGCTTAGTAATTAATGCAAGTAAAAGGCTATTGTTTCAGGAACTGAAGGGAGGACACACCCGGACTCCAGGAGACCACAAGCAGTTCTACCTTTGTGCCCAAGTGGGACTGCAAGCCATCAAGATGGCATCTGAGCTGTCGTGTTCCAGGGAGAGACCTCCATGCCCAGGACACAGATAAGAGTCACCAGTCAAGGGTGAAAGAATGCTGCAGATTTTATCTGATTAACTTTCCCCCTGAATTCCAAACCCCTTACCTCCACTTTTCTTCCCTTTGTAAAAAGTGTTGGTTTGACATGAAATATAAGACGGTCTTTTAGGGTATGAAACTGGCCATCTTCTCAGATCACCGGCCATCTGAATGAAGTGCCCACAGTCTCTGCTTATTGGATCTGGTGGTGACCGGGCAGCACAAACGTCAGCTTTTCCAGTTTCATATCTATGGACACTTAGGTTGCTTCCATATCTTAGATATTGTGGATAATGCTGCAGTACATAGGAGAGCATATCTCTATAAGGGGGTGCAGCCAGGACCTCCCAAAAAGGGATTTGTAATGGGGTCCAGAACTCAGGGTGCCCAGGAAATATTAAAAATATGGGATGTCTTCACCCCCACAAGTCTGAACTGGAGGATGGGACACACGGATCATGGCCATTGAGAGCTGTTTTGCATAGCAACAGTTTCACAGATAACCTCTAGAATGGTTGCTTAACATATGTATAACTTTTGACCGGTTTCACAGATATGTGAAATAGCTGTGGCCAAGCTTTGAGCCAGGGAGATGGGAATGACTCCCATCTCGGATGTACCTGGGAGGCAACTTCCCCTGGTTACAGCACCTGCATAAGAGCTTGGAGAAGATTGGCTCCACGCCACAGGACCATGCCTGGAATTACAATGGCAGCCCAGAAAAGCTGGAAAAAATACAGGAATGCTGGCAGGTGTAGCCAATTGTGGGAGGAGTCAGAAATGGTAATGCAGAAGAAGCTTGGCTTTGGGATTTAGACCCAGGTGGGGCAGTTGCGAAGCGGGGGATCATGCAGCTTAGGAAGTTGGAAGGCAAGATGTAGCAGCCATGCAGAGCTCTCTCTTGGCAATTTGGAAGAATGCAGGAGAGGTGCTGTAGGAAGGAAAGGGGGGAAGGGACGTGTATCAGCGACACGGCTGATGGTGCTGGGAACCAAGGGAGGCCTGACAGCCAAGCACGGACTACTGGGGAGAACCGGGGGCTGCCTGAGCCACGGACTCTTTCTTTTCCTGAGATACGGTACCCCAGACTGGGTAAAGGGGGGAAGGAAGGACTGTGTGTGTTTGCGGGTGTTTTAAGGGACTTTGGGATTTTAATGAAAACATTAAGTCATTACTCTTAAGTCTGTATAACTTTCAAATAAATAATTCCTTTCCTTTTCACCAATCTCTGACATTGAGAGCTATAATTCCCTGGTGGTGAACAAGGCAAACCTAGTACAGGGGGACCCCAGGAGAAGGGGGGGTCCGTTCGGTAACATTGTGCGACCCCTTCTCTGGTGGCCAGTGAAGGAAAACCATGAGAAACCACATGCGCAGTAGCTTTACAACTACTTGTACATGCGCAGTAAAAGCCTGCCAAAACTAGCCAGGAAGGACCTGCCCTTTAAGAGTAGGATCCCTCCAGACCATGAGATCAATCTCTGCTTGGCATTGGCCTGCTCCCATGTTCTCTGCTATAAACTCTGTGTGTTCAGTTCAATTCTTTGTCCCCATCACCAAACACCTGGTTACCTGTGCCCACCTGTGACACAGCTGGCCCAGGACGCTGTCTGGTAACATTGACTGTTAACTATCCTCTATCCACCAATGTAAAAGAAGTCCTGTCTCTCCATTTTACTTTTTATCCAGTCTCGGAGATTTCCCGACTTGCTTCCTCCCACTTCCCCAATCTCTCACCACTGGATTTCATGTAACCCCTTCCACCTCCTCCTGTGATTCTACTGCATAAAATAAGGGGTAAAACTGCCATTTTCTGGAGCATTTTCTCAGCGCATTGAGATTCTGCTTCCTGGCCGTTGCTATCAGTTTGGCTCAAGTAAACTCATGAAACATTTTTCACAGGTTCGGACATTTCTTACAGCAACAAAAGGGAAAAGAAAAAATAGCTTAAGAAAGAAAACAACCGTTTTTGGTTATTTTAAGTTGTAATAATTTTGAGAGGTGGAAAGAAGGGAGAAGGGTAAAAGAACCAGAACCTCAGCCATCTGTCTCAACGGGAAGTCAGTGAAATATAAAAATTGTGAATTGAGAAGTAGCAGGATAAACACACTATTTAGAATCAAAAAAATATTTTTCATCGATTATGCTATTAAAGTTCCAGTTTCCCTCCTTTGCCCCCCTTCACCCAACACCCCCTTCCCCTCCAGCATCACCTCCCTTACTTTGTGTCCACGGGTCGTGCAAATAATTTCTTTGGCTTCTCCATTTCCTATATTGTTCTTAACTTCCCTGTCTTTTTTGTATCTACCAATTTGCACCTCTTAATCCTGGAAACTTTTCCCCCATTCTCCACCTTCCCCCTCCCCGCTGATAACATTCCATTTCTGTTCCTGTTCTGCTTGTTTGCTTAGTTTTTTTTTTTTTTGATTCAGTTGTTGATAGTTGTGAATTTGTTGCCATGTTATTGTTCATAGTTTTGATCTTTTGCTGATATAGTTCCCTTTAGCATTTCATATAATAATGGCTTGGTGATGATGAGCTCCTTTAGCTTTACCTTGTCTGGGAAGCACTTTATCTGCCCTTTGATTCTAAATGATAGCTTTGCTGGATAGAGGAATCTAGGTTGTAGGTCCTTGCTTGTCATAACTTTGAATACTTCTTGAGGGTAAGTACCAGGGAGGAAAAACAGTTTAAAATATTTCTGGTGGATTTTTTTTCTAGAGTATCAGACTACTGTGGGGATTGGGGACAGGAAACAGCTGTATTTTATTATTAACATTTAGCACTATTTAATTGTTTGCTTTTATTACTGGAATAGAAAAAACCTTTATTATAATTTTTAAATCTCCTACATACCACCTCCCCTCCTCCCCAGGAAAAGCATATGAATTACCCTTTATGTGTTCCATAGGTCAGAAAGCTATTTTTATTTCTGCTCTGATGTTTATTCAGAAATAAAACTATTTTGATGTTCTCAGTGACCCTCTGACTCATACCTAGAAAAGGGTTAACATTTATGACCTCAGAGATTTTCTAGATCTCTCTTGTTCCTGTGAAGGACTTTGTAACTCTCCCCTCCTTGAATTTCCCACCTTCTGCTGGTTTTCAGGGCAAGAGAAAATGCCAATGCTGGTCCCACACCAGGTAGTGGGCATGGTGTTTTGGTAAGAGTGTTGAGGTGCGACTTCGTTATAAAGTGGTCGATCAGGATGAGGGTTCTGTTAAAACAGTCATGCAGCTCCTGCTGAGGTTCACTCCCTTCGTTCTGATGTTATCTTTCAACTCGCCTCCCTCCGACGGACATCTGTGGTTTTGCTGCTGGCATGAGCGCTCCCCACATCTGCAAGGAGAGCTCAGCCGGAGCTGAGCAGAGCCTTGACTGATTTGTTACAGAATACATGACTTTGATTACTAGCTGGGAGGCACTAAATCATGGTTACAATTTAACATTTTAGTGCAGGGAGAGACTTAGGAGGAGCAAGGAGAGGAAAAGCAGAGCAAAGAGATGGGGGAAGGATTACAGACCTGCAAGTGGAAGATCCAACATAGATCTTTCCAGTCGGTGTCCTCGAGTTGGCCGTCTGGTTTTTGTCCGCTTAGCCTTATTCCAAGGTCAGGCTGTTTCTTAGATTTACAAAGGAACCGAACATGTTGATTCTAGTGAAGTATACTTAGAAAAGAAACTTTTAACATGTAAACTCTAGTTTTGAGAGAAAAAAGCAGGTTAGAGTAACTAGCTGGATTTAACATTATTAAGATTAATGTGAGTAGCTTTCTATAAATATAGTGTATTCATATTTATTCCCCGTTACACGATCACTGTCAGCTTTGTAAACCACCAGGCTGTTCCTGCAGCCTTCTTCCTGCCATTTCCTGTGGCCAGTTCACCCCCATACTTGGGCCGTCCCCCTTCATTTCAGACCAGAACACCCTGGACTCCCCAGTGTTAGCTGCTGGAAGGAGGTGTTTGTCCAGTATCTCCAGAATGTCACAAAGAGATTCGCTGTGGTTCCGTCTGGACCATTTGTCTATATTCCAAAATCATTTCTAGTTTGTCTTCTCCTCCCTTGTTCGCTGCCTTCTGAGCGATGATGCCGATTATTCTCTGGGGAGCTCATGCAACTGCGATCGCATTGTTACATGCAACAGGTTTCTTTCTTCAGCGGTCAGCTCCACATCCATCCCTGCGACTTTCACTGATTCCACCACTTCGTCACAGGGCTCAGCCTGAGGACCAGCTTCGCGGGGTACACCAGGTCCTCCGATCAGGGGACAGTGCCTGCAGCTCCGCTGGGGTCCACTGGGTGCTCAGAAGCAAAGAGTGTCCTCGACTCTCTCAGCCTGTCCCTCCCTGTTGGAGTGGCACGTACGGGCACCTCCATCCTTCTGGTTCCTTTTAGCCATCTATTCATTCACTTTGGTGACGTCTCTTCACGTCTTTTCCCCACCTTTTAATTGGGTGGTTTGGTTTGAGAGCTCTTTCCCTATTCTAGATACTAGCCCTTCATTGGACACGTGGTTTACAATTATCCCACAGCCTCCCTAGCTTGTTCTTTCCCCGCACCCTGCAGTCTTTTATAGAGCAAAAGTCCTTTATTTCGAGGAAATCTTATTTTTCAAGTTTTAAAAATTGTGCTTTGAATAAAAGGGAAAAAAAGAATTGCAACCTTAATAGCATGTTTCAGCCAAAAAAAAAAAGGAGGGAGGGAATAAAAAGCAAAACTAGGTGATCAAATGACAATCTTATGTTCTCTTTACATTGTCAAATGCTGGAGTCATCAAATGATTCCCTTACAAGAACACACTTAGATGATATATTCAGGTCAGTCCTCCCCAGGTTATTAGTTCTTGAAATGTTTCATTCCAATGATTAGAAAAACCCATTGTATTTAGTTTGCTCTGCCGATCATACATGTCATTCATTGGTCCTGTTACAGCAGAACTGATTAGTATTCACATGTCCACTAATCATTGCTAGGTCATACCGAGAATGTGCAGAGACCTTGCTAAACCCAAGGGCGTCGTTCTGTTTACCGAGAGTGCGGGGTCTGGAGCACTGCGCTCAGTACCCACCACTTCCTGTAAGTCCAGAGGTCACCCCCAGCCTTTCCAACAACAAAAAAAAAATGTGCTTTTGGTGACAGGTCTAAGAACTCCCTGCCTAGCCCTGCATCCTAAAGTGTTTCTGATTTTTCTTTCTAAAAGTTTTACATTTAAGTCTGTGATACATTTTAAGTTAGTTTTGTATAAAATATATGCTGTAGGTTAGGGTTGATGGTTTTTTTTGCCTGTGGTTGTCCAGCACCATTTGTTGAAAAGATTGTTCTTCCTCCATGGACTCGCTTTTGCACTTTTGTTAAAAATCAGCCAGGCGCACTCAGTGGCCCCGACCCTTGGCTCTCTGGCTGTGCCGTTGTTCTGTGTCCCTCTGCCCACTGACGCCACCCAGTTTTGTTTATAGTCGCTCCGTAAGTCTTGAAATCAGTTTCGTCTTCTTTTCCTGACTTTTCTCTCTTTTTCAAAATTGTTTTTGATTTTCCAGTTCTTTTGCCTCATCCTGAGGAAGTCTGGAGTTCCAGAGTTACAAAGGCTTCCAAAACAGGGTTGAAAAGTGTTTCCTCCTATACTCTGGAAGAGACCGTTTGGAGTCATTCTTCTTCCAACATTCGGTAGAATTCTCCAGCGACACCATCAGGGGCTGATGTGAACATCAACAGAAGTCATCCTGGTCGGAGTTTCTTAATTTGGAGTTTTAAAAACTTCCTCTAAGTTTTCAAGCTCATGGGTGCACAGCGGTTTCTAGTGTTGCCTTACTCTCCTTTTGGTGTCTTCGGGGTCTGTAATAATACCCCCTGTTTCGTTCCTGAGGCCGGTGATTTGTGTCCTTTCCCCGCCTTGGTTAGCCTGGTCGAGTGTTGCCGATTTTACCCACGCTTTCAAAGAACTCGATTCTTTCTCTCTTTTCAGTTTCACCGATGTCTGGTCTCGTCTTTCTCATTTCCCTCCTTTCACTTGCTTTGGGTTCAGTTTGCTAGTCTTTTCTAGGTTCTCGAGATGGGAAACTAGATTATTAGCCGC